CCAGCTAGCAAATTTAACGAACATGCAGACATTGCTAGAATTATTCCTATATTGTGTATGAAAAAAAATTAAGATCGGTTCATATTTGGAGAGGGAAACAAGGGAATACGAGATGATGATTTCGTCAATTTTTCATACTTATAATCAGGATGAGGTACAGTGGTCTCTCTCCCTAGCCTAGCTCGGTCATTCGGACACAGCGCGACAGCAATAGGTCGTATAAAAAACCTATTCTCAATTCTTGCAGCCCAGATATCTTCTAAGTTTCTATGAAATAAGAATTCTATCTCAGCTTTATATAGTTACGTAACAAAAAAATTAGAAATGAATTACTTGCTTATCTAATTTCTTTCTAGTTTAAAAGTAATGAATTTATTAATTAACTTATTATAACACTATACTGTTGTGTTTTTGTGTGTTATATCAGCATGTATTCAATTAAAATTTCTCCTATTTATTTTCATATGATTTGCTATTTGTGCCTTGCTTAGAATCCACATGCAAGATTGTAACGGTTGAAACAGACTTGGCAATTTGATACATCTCATTTAAGTTTTTTATCACCTTTGTCGTCACTAATTAACATGTATTCATAGCAGTGCTATAGGAACCAGGTATTTAGATAACTATCAGAAGAAATGTCACCAACCGCTGACGGGGCCAAAAAACCCTTTGTCAAGTAATATTAAAACTTGGTTGCTAGTATGGTTTAATAACACCGAAACTATAAAATGTGTTATGTTAACGCTGCAAATGCAAAAACAAAAAAAATAGCTTTTTAAACTGTAAAACCGTAATAGAATAGAATAGAATAATTTTTATTTAATATAGATCACATGTAATTCTTATTGAAAGTCATTTTTTACTTTACCACTGGTTCGAAAAAAAAAACCTCTGTCCTGGGAAGAACCAGCAAGAAACCCAGCAGGACTTTTATAACAAAAAATAATAAATGTACGGTATTTCGTGTATTATGTGTTGTGTTCTACTTAACAAATCTGTTATCTTAATTCAAGTAATACAGCTGAACATCAACAGAGGTCAAAGAGATACTCAATGCTGTTGCCATGTCTGCTTTCGCCTAAAATCATATTTCTGTTTGATGTAAACAATAGTTTTGTTGTGAATTTGTATGCAATTTAAAACTAGATTCTTGGGCGAATTCAATGTTGTGTATTTAAAAATTTATGTACATACGTATTTAAATTGTTGTAAATAAAATAGTTTATCTTAAATTTTATATAGATAAAAAATGATTAAGTTGTATTTTATATTTTTTAGTTGGTAATACATTTTGATTTCGTTAAATGCAGATTGACTTGCGTGATTTTCATTCATATTTTTATAGTCACATTTACAATTTAATAAAATAATGTCATGAAATAATTAAGACCAAAGATTAGAAATGATTCTTTATGCATTTTACTTTGCAATACTTTTTTCCATGCCAATACAACTAAGAACGTAATAATTCGAACAATACTTTTTTTTGTAATATAGTTGATTTTTATATAATATAGGATCCATGACCTCACATATGCTTTGTACTGCTGTCAACTTTTTCTTACTGTGCAACTTAAGCCTTCCTTTTGATTCCAGCCTTTATGACAACTTAATAAATTAAATAAATTTTGTTAATATATCTATTACTCCCTCTACATCAGTGTATGTCATCGGTATCGATATTACGTAGGTAAAATCTATTAACTCTTAAAATTTCTACTATTAATACCTATTACAATTTATGTTTTAAATGTGTAGTTTTATTTTTAATTCGGGTACTATAGGCAGGCATGGATCTTTGAGTTTTATTTTTATTCATATAATTAGAAATTATCCCACTTTAATGCTAGAAATATAATACGAGGAAGTTATTTAAAAAAAAATGCGCTCTTGGGGATCACCCCGAACGAAGTTCCTTCGCACCAGTTTCTGTTTCTCAACTTTCCTCTATAAAATTACAATAATGACTCTTATAAATCCCGTGTCAATTAAAACAATAGTAAAAAATAAGTTTAATATTTACGTGTTTAGAATTGAGGTTATTCAACTGACCGCGCACAATGCTTGCTGCTCGAATCTCGATACTCGCACGAACACACACATATATAATAAAAAGAGACAGGGATAAAGAGAAAGAGAGGGAAAGGTTGCCTATTGGGGGCATAACGCTTTTTCCTTACATTAAGATTTCTGCCACCTGCCAGACTGCCAGTTAACTCTACTGTAAGCCGCGTAAAGGAACTTCGTTCCAATAAATAATAGTGTGAAGGCGGATATTCAACTTGCTCTCTTGCTTACACAATCAATCATTATCAGCGGTAAGACCGCATCATTATCAGCAGTAAAACCGCGTACTGCACATTAAAATATGGAGCAGTTACAATTCGACCATATCGTAATACCACAGTCTAAAAAGAACATACAGTCACTCATCGCGTTTGATGTTGTCGGAAAAGCCGACATTAACAATAAATTACTAGAGTTGTCAGGACGAGAAGTAATAAAAAATAAAAAACTACTAAATAAAAAACTAATTTTATTTTATTTCACGTTTAAACAAATTAATGTGTATGTGGAAACTAATGAAACAAATTCGTTATTTTTAAATGAAGACGACCCACAGTTTTTTACCGCACATGTAGTGTGAACTATTTTAATTTATTTGCGTGACAGGACAACCCTAACGGACAGTTCCCGAGCTACTAACAGCTGCTGCTCTTGAACTCCCCCCCTCCCGCGTCTCACCCCGCGACGCACTATTAGTAGTAGTTAGACTGTGGTACTACTTTGTACTGTTTGGTCAAAACCACATATTAGTGTAACATACAAAAACAGATTGAGTAATTACATAAACAAAGACCAACACTGCTTATCTAAATGTGACACATACCAGCCTCTACGCAACATAACTTATACTATTACAAAAGGAATTACCGCGATGAACAAAATCACGACACCGGTTGGGAATCATAGAATGATTTAAAAAGTCGCCTACTTTATGCGGCTAGAACTATTGGAAGATTAGAGTTCACTCCTTCGCTTCTTCGCAGTTTCTTTTATTTCTACTCTCATTCCTAACAATACTATATTTTAAGGTTTAAGTATAATCAAATATTTTCATATGGTTGCCCTTTGGGATTTGAATGATTTAACAGCATAATTAAGGATTAAAATTGAAAACTTAAGGTTTTCATTTTTATTCAAAAGAAACAACACATGCTGATTTCATTATATGCTTACCTACTTAAGCATAATTCTCGTTCCTCTTCTCCATATTGTTTAATGTCGCAACTTATCCATTCTTCCTTCTCAGATACGTCAAAATTTTCAACAATCTCTCTTAGATCTAATAATAGTATCTTTTTCAGCTCATGTAGCCAAAGATGGCCAGTGTTTCGCAGATGAATTTTCCGACCATAGTTTTTTTCTTTCGTATAAAATTCAAACTCCCGAAATCCTTTTTCAAAGCAATATTGGTGCCATGGATATGGAGTTTTCGCGTAACAACCTCAGAAACGCTGACTGGTCTGAGGTTTAAACTGCTGAGTGTAGAATCATGACTATGATCTACCTTTTCATCTATAGAGATGAAAAGTTAGATCGGTACGGTAGTAGACTTTTTTGCAGATACGATTTTAGCTTTCTTAGGATTTCAATTCTTTTTAAACTTCGTTTTTTCTTTTCTACATGTTTTAACATCAGTAAAATTTTCGTCTTGTTTATTTTTCTTTCTTTTGTTACGTTTCACTTCTTTACTATTTAATTTCAATTGATTATATTTATCAAATAGATCTTTGGTGACAGGAGTACCTCTATAATTAATGGCTTTTCATCTAACAGTCGGTGTGCATGTTTGAACTTTAAAAGGCGTATGCAGAAGATCATAAAAATAATTTCTTTTCAACCGACTGAGTGGTAAATCATCAGATTCATCCGAACCAGAGCTTGTTTCATAAACTGTGCGATAATTTTATGCTATAGCTGGTGATTGCTTAGTTTGTTCTGGGGTCGCTGGTCGGAGACAATCAACAGGTGAAATATTTCCAAGCAAGACATCGGATATTGGAATCGGTGTCAAAATTGATGGTGAACTAGTAGCAGATTTTGAACTCTTCTGTTGATCACTATTAATAGGTGGTATATTTTCTTGATCACGATCAGGCGTTGAAGCTTCCGATAAAATAAGATAAGACGGTGTTGTATCTGCGGATTCTGAAGCTTGTGCATGAGGATGTTCGAGAGCTGGTGCATTTTCTTGTCCACCATCTGGTGCAAGAGCTTCCGTTAAAATGAAAGGGGCAAAAGCTGTTTCTGGTATGGCCTGTGGGTTGAAGGGATACAAGCCAGTCGCTTTAAAGCCACTCGTGATATTGCTGTGTGTCATACATTTAGACCAAACGCTTGAAAGAATGATATTAAAGCGTGCTTTAGTGAGTTTTTGTCTCTGTTTTGGTCCAAAAATGATAACAATTCAGCATCCCAGTGGTGTTCGAATGATCGATATACGGCTTTGTCGAGAGGCTGTAATTCATGGGTTGTGTTTGAAGGTAGGCAGTACAAATTAATGCCAAGTGAATCGGATATATCGACTATGAAAAGCTCTAAATGACAATCTGCTCCGTCAAATATCAAAAGGCATGGCTTTTGTATCTAGACAAGTGTTTTAAAAATATTTTGAAAAGTTCATTGGTCATATACCCCTTTGCTGATTTTTCTACTAAAGATCCTTGAGGCAAATTATCGTACAATTCTGATTTCAAACGTTTTTCCTTAAATATGACCATAGGTGGTATGGCTGTGCCAAGAGCATTAACACATCCTGGGATAGTAATGCTTTCAGCATGTTCAGAAGACTTCAAATGAACCTTTTTAGCCCCTTTTTTGGCCAAAACACTTTTCTGGTGGTGGATAGTGAGACGGCATCCTTTCTGATCCATATTATAAATTTTCTTAGGATGATCATATAAGTCAAATTTATCGTAGATATCTCTCAGTTTTTATAAATGGTCATCAACAATAAATTTATTTAGCTTTTGGGCTCTAGCTGGGTTCATGAATTGCGCTTTTCTTACGGATATTTCATGGTATCTTTTCATGAACGCTTTGAACCAGTCTTTGCCTGCGCGTTTGCCCTCATCATTAAAATTGTGTTTTATATTATTTTGCTCACAATATTTATACACCAATCGACGCAATATTCTTGGTGTCACAGGCAAGCCCATTTTAGAATACCGGATTATCCTTTGCACAAGTTGAGCTTCCTCTTCATCATTTAATATAGGTTTACGTCCCAAACTTTTCTTTAAACTGCCAGACTGCAGATGATTTCTGATTGTTCTTCTAGGAACCTTATAGATCTCTGCAGCCTTATACGTACTCAAAGTTCCTCTTTGTACTGCTCTAACAGCTGCGATCAGATCGTCTTCTGACCACAATGCCCTTTTGGGAGGCATCGTGACCGTAAGCACTGAAAACAATGATAAATAAATTGAAAATGTATAACTACGTAAATACTACCCACCAACAAACATTTTAAAAGCACGCTCCTACTGATATAGCAGTTTAAAACAATAGGAGTATAATAAGGTCTATAGTAAAATTTTATAGGCCTTAATATCCGCCAACCACGTGGTTAGAAAAAAAAATTTACAACTACAAGTCCTTTAATACTGTAACCTAGGGACAAGCATACATTAATTAATAAACGGACAGTCAATACAGGTTTGTAAATATGATATTTTCAAAATAACTTACGTTTTACTGGAGCCAATTTTTATAATTCGTGCCGCGTGACCGCACCGCTAAATGATTTCGACGACACTAACGGGGGGAGAAGTGCAAGCGTTCGTCCGCTACTTCGCAGCGACTTGTATACGCTCTGAGCTTGAGTGAGTGTAACCTTGATCGTCATTTACTGTATTTCGTACGTTTTTTGTCACTTAGGCCTTAATACTCGCGGGTACCTTAAGGTAATGGCACCTATAGATGACACATTAAGGATTTTTTTCTATATCTTGCACCGTGGAAACCACAAATTACAGAATTTCTCATGACTGTTAGTGCTCAAACAGGCTTTGAGTATTTGTCTATCAGCTAGAAAGTTTTCAGCGCCCTGCGTTTACATAGATGTAATGGAACTAATTTTTTTTTAATCACTCAATTGGCCCCTATAGATGACATTCAAAATTCGTTCGGTTCCTAAAGATGACAATGACGGCACCTAAAGATGACATAGGTTTCTGTGTAAATTAAAAAGCCAAATTAGCAAAAATAATAACACATTTATTTTAATTAGAATAAAGAAATTAAAGATTTGCAACCTGGGGCACGTCATAAATCTCCCTAGTTGAACTAAATTTGGTGGGCGTTTTTATTTTGCCCACGACATCGTCCCAAGCATAAAATAACCGATCCTCCCTTTGAGGCCATTTCCACAGTCGCCCATGACGCACCATGGCAGTCACGACGACTCCATCTTCTTTGACAACGATTATCCTACCAGGAAAAATCTTATTTTCGTATCTTACGGCAACATACTCCCCAACCTCCTTCCTTGGGGCTTGCAGCTCATTATCGGAGGATCCTGAGCTTTTTTCATCCCATTCACCTCCAGACGACGATTTCAAACTCCCAGCTTCGTCATTTGATGAAGCATCTGAATCTTCACTTTCTTTAGTTTTTCTAGAAGAGGTAAAGAGGCGCCTCGCGGCTTTTTTGCACTTCTCGTCCTCTTTTTCTTGCCTCTTTTTAAGCCTAGCCGCCAATCGTTTTTGTTTCTCCTCATCTTTCTGTTTCTTCAGATTTAACTTTTTCTGGTGATACTCCTGCCACTGAGGGGATGAAATCACCGAAGGGATTTTTTCCTTCGACCTTCTCTTTTTCGGTACCGTACTTTCCTTTGGCCAGAAAAGGCATCTTTTAAAAGGCGACGGGATATAAGATGATGTAGAAGGAATAGGAGTTCCCGGAGCCTCTAAAGGATCAGAAACTTCCAAAGGAGCAGGAACTTCCATTCCGTCTTCAACAGTATCTAAAGGAACAGAAACTTCTAAAGGGACAGGAATTTCCATTCCATCTTCAACAGGATCTAAAGGAGCAGAAACTTCCAAAGGAGCAGGAACTTCCATTCCGTCTTCAACAGTATCTAAAGGAACAGAAACTTCTAAAGGGACAGGAATTTCCATTCCATCTTCAACAGGATCTAAAGGAGCAGAAACTTCCAAAGGAGCAGGAATTTCCATTCCGTCTTCAACAGGATCCTCTGCATTTGCTAAAGGGGCTTCCAAAATAGTCACAGTATTTTTTTCTAATCCTGTTGTCACCTTCTTCCATAGCTCGTACAGGGAATGGTCGGTAACAGGGATGGAATCTTTATTCCCACTAAAAGAAGCAATTTTTTCTGCCCCGATTACTGTCTTCAGCCACGGAATACAATTAGGACAGCACAAATTAGTTTCTGTATTGGGTTCAGTTGCCTTCGGTGGCGCAGCAGGCCTAACAGTGACTTCCAAAGGGTTCCAGGGCACTAACCCACATTTTTTGAACCCATTTGCCAAAATTTCTGGCCGATACACATCCAATAAAAGTTGATCAAGTAAGGCGCAAAAATTACTTTTTGACTCTTCACCACCGCTTAATCGATGTTGTAAAGCTTTCTCCTTCCACAAAGCTTTCAGCGTATGAAATACGGAGACGTCCATCGGTTGCAGCAAATGGGTAGCGTTGGGGTATAAGGCCACTAAAACGATGTCATTTTGGCTGCAAAGCTGACTAACCTCCATAGATAGATGGGAGACGTGGCCATCGACAAAAAATAGTACTGGCCGCACTATCTTTTCTTTTTCCAGCCATGGAATGAACTGGTTTCCAATTTACTCATAAAAAATTGCGCAGGTCATCCATCCCTGCTCACTTTTTCCTATAGCCCATGATGTGGGCACATTTACGGTGATATGGAGCGGAATACGTGTATAACGGAAGACTACCAAGGGTGGTGCAAGATCTCCATTAGCATTGCCCGTAAAGAGAACTGTAATGCACTCTTTCTCGTCATTACCAACCGCTTGATAAATATTTTTACAACCGCGTTCAGCCATAACTTTTCCGGCTTTTGGTTGCAAGAAAAATGCTGTCTCATCAGCGTTAAATACGCGTTTGGGGTCATCCAAGACGCTCGCCAATCCGTTTCCCTCTAAATACGTATAAACGTCATTCTTCCAGCCGTCTAATTGTTCGTTTGTTATTGAGCTCCTGCTCTTTGTTAAATTTTGGGCAACGCGATTAGAAATCCGAGGGTGTCTACTCATAAAACTGCCATACCACTTTTTGGATGGAACCCTATCACGGAAAATGTCCTTCCCTAATTGAGCGGCTAATCTTTGCATGCTTATTAAAAAGGTTCCTTTCGAAACGGGAAATCCTTTTCTCGCTAATTCAAGGACCCATTCCTCAATTTTCAGTTCCTCATCGGCCGTAAAAGCCGTACGGGCTCCCATTTTTCTTGATATTGGGTTGATCCCTTTAACCTTGCTCCGAAGTGTAGAGCGGGGTATTTTGTACTTCTTAGCAGCCGCGTACACAGGAACCCCACGCATCACGTCATCCAGGGCTTTTGTCATAACTTCTTCATCATACTGCAGAATTTTTGTGGGAGGCATCGTCTTCATTCACCTAAAAAAATAAAAAGTTACTTAGGGTTACGTATGCATAACCTAAAGATGACACGCTAAGAACCTAAGGATGACATAGCTGTCAGCTTAAGGTTCCTGGACAACTATTGCACCGAAATAAAAATTCTACATATTCTTTTTATTTTTTAACTTCTATAGCACTGAAGCATCAATCGGGGCTAAAAAACTTTAAGATGACAATACGATCATCTTTAGGAAACTGCGCCTCTTAAGGAACCTAAACATGACACCGCCTTTGCAACCCCAACCCATAACCAAAATGACTGTGCAAAGCGCTTTGTTGTGAAATTAAGTCTAACAATGACAAAAACTTATTTAGGTAAGTATATCATTGCGATAAATATCGAGATAAAAAAACTTAAATAGTAAATACACTTACCTTAACCAAATCACTAGAATTGAAGCGAAAAACAGCAAATGATACAACCACAAACATAAACAAGACCGTATTATGGAAACCACAATGGCGTTTGATTGTTTTGTTATGTTGTCTCCAGGGAGAAGAATCAGTGTTGTCAGTGCAACAAATAAAATTCCCGCTACTTTTTTAAAACTCTTGTTTTTTGAAAGGTTATGAGACACTGTCATCTTTAGGTGGTATGTCATCTATAGGTGCCATTACCTTAATCTATATTGAATAAAAAATTATTCTATTATATTATATCAAATCCTTCTACGTTTTCTGATTACCGTCCTATCTTGATTTTTCTCGTTCCTGTCCAAAGTAGTAAATCAGTCTTCCTTAACATAAACAATCATATAAATTCTTATCAAAATGATTTTCGATCAAGTCATAGGCACTTCCACTATCATCAAAAGGTACTTTCAAATTATCCCGTCAACCTCGCAACGCTCGTGAAAATGCACAAATCATTTGGCGCCATCATAATAAAAAGCAACTTTATACGTGGTAGAGCCATGCTGCAGTTATATTAGTAGTGTTGTGGCACGTATGGGTCGGCTCTCACAGAATACAAAAAAATAGCAGGTTAACACTGCTTTGTTTCGTATGGTGAGTGTAGAAAACCTGAGACCCTTTTTAACGGAAAAGAGGCATTCCATGTTAGTCCTCACGGGTGACAACGCATCTGCATTTTGATTCTTTAGTGAAAATAGATGTAGATGTCTGTGGGTCACAGCAACCACTTACCATCAGGTTTGTTACCTTATACTATAAAAAAAAAACTGTTCTGACGCTGCTAGCTTTTAGCGATGGTTTTAACAGTGTAGACTTCAATATATGTACTACAGAAATATATTGGTTTCGTAGTTGGACAAAGTGTTTGAACGCCAGCAACGCCATATTTACGATGCATTTTCTTCTTGGTGTCAACTGAACGCCGATCCACTGTTCCTGCGCTAATGTGAAAGCCTTTAGTTAAGGACATTCCGACAGTTTTTTTACGGCATCTCATTCACAGTGCGGGCTATTAAACTGGAATTCCCTTCCCATTGATCGCCATGATAAATCATTGTCAATTTTAAAATCCTTAGTAATAAACATTATCAATCATCGCTATCTATGTTCATATTTATTATGTATGTTAATCGTGTATGGGTATATTAAAATATTTTATGATATATTATTGCTAAGATATTTTATTAAATATGTAATTATGTACAATTATATAATTCAAATTGTTATATTTATATTTAATAAAAATAAATTATTATATATATTTACATAACAAGTGTGAATGAGAAATATATTATGTAGTTCAGTTTTATTTTATTTATTTCTATTTTGTTTCTTATCATTTTTGATTTAGGTACACTGCCGTCTCACCGTCTTATAGATTATTCGTGTTTTAAGTTTTTGCCTATATATATATGTCGTAGGATAATTTGATAAGTTTTATCAAAACAACATATACAATATGGAAAGGTTGCCTGCAAGTGATCGCATTTAGCGATTAGGTCGCCCATTGCTTATTAAGACGCGTAATTCTTTTATATTTTGTTCATGATGTACAATAAAGTTATATTTATTTATCATTATTATTATACAAAACATATTAGTTTGCTATATTTGTTCCACCTCTGGCATCGAAGTTCCCCTATTTGTAAAAATGAAATCGCGGAACAGTCTTTCAAGTCGACGGAATAGCGATTACAAGGCCTTTCGAACATAATATCACCGATTATGTTAAGGATCTAAATTATTAGAGATTATTAGAAACGAGCATGTCCAGAGTAACCTGATAAAACCAAAGAATCAGTAGCTGAAATGGCAACAAGCCGGAGGCTAACAAACGTTCTCTAGAAGGAGTCTCAATAACACCAAGGGTATTGTAAGACAACATATAACTAGATGAGTGACGAGCCTTTCAGGCACATATTAAGTATATTTAGATCGTTTTGCGCGTCTTTATTAATGGATTCAATACTGTTACCGAACTAAAATAGGCTGGTATCATCCGCATATAGGTCTCCTTTTAGTTCTAATATGCTTACGTTATTTATGTAAATAATGAAGAGCAATGGTCCTAAAATTGAGCCGTACGTCATCTGTTTGGGCTGTTTTTGTAGTCTGCATGTTTAACTATCTGATAACGGTCAGAGACATACGATTTAAAGAAGTTCGAGAGGCTTTGCTGTGATACTGTATCGAACACCTTTTTTAGATCAATGAAGATGCCAAGAGCAACCTTTTTTTTCATTTATATTATTTTTTATTTTGGTAACAAAGTTTACAGTCGCTGCTAGTGTGTTAGATTTGAGTCTGAAACCATATTGTTTATGATAAAGAAAATTTATATATATATATAGAGTTCAAATAAGTCTCAAGTCGGTTGTAGATAATTTTCTCCAAAATGTTAAAGGAAAAGGGAAGAACCGATGTAGGCCGGGTCGGTTTTGCTGCCAGATTTATGAATAGGTGTAACTTTAAAATTTTGAGACTACTGGAGAATATATACCTTGTTTCAGACACATCACTATTATCATCATTGCGTCCCTTCAGAAATCCTCTGCATAACATAACCCTCCCCCAAGGAGTGAAACAACACGCTCCTGAGCCACCTGTATCCATCGACTTCCTGCATTCAGCCTACCTAGGCGGGTTACTTCAGCGTTATAAAACACTTCATTTATCTACTTCAATCAAAGCCTAATAATGTAGTAAGAGCCTAATAATGTAAGATTAAATTACACTTAATATTTCTATCACACAACATTATTTTCCTGCGCGCTTTATAAAAAATCAAGCATATCAATGTAGGTATAACACTTGAAAATAAGATACAAACTAGTTTCTCTACTCTACTCGTTTTCCATAGATATAACTTGTGTGGCATGAGATTTATGTTATTACTTGTTATATAACGTGTAATGGTCCATGCCTACATATTATATTACAAGCGACGGAAACTAATTTTTGGATTCACCATCCCATCTTTCTTACATTATCAAACAGGTACAACTGCCACGGTCGAAACTCGTCGAATCAAAAAATCGCAGTTTTATACATTTAATAGAATTACAACAAAACAGAAAATTGTTGTAACTTCTTTAGGATTCAAAAGATTATTATATAATTTATACTAGCGATGGTTGTTACTTGGTGAAACTTTATTTTTGTGATTTTAAATAATTACTTTATTGACTATGGAAACCGGCCGGCTTCAGGGTTCTTATTATTGATGATGCTGTGAAACGAAACTGGTCGGTTTTTATAGTTAATAAATTAATATTTTTTTAATAAATATATTGAAACAAGTATATAAGTGCTTAAGCAAATCACAAAAATCATAACATTTTGACACTCAGTGTACAGGCGCAAAATATAAGTCTGAGTGTAAAGCTGAAAGCCTTAGGATTGACAGACAGCACTACCAAATGAAGAACTGAGTAGTTAAGCAATACTGCCTGGATTTATAATGTGGATGATGTGATTTTATATATTTTTGGAAGTATGGTAGATATAAAGTAAAGTAAACAGTTTATTACTACCATAAGTGTTACAAGGAACGTTTAAGTTCGTAGTCGTTGAGTATTGTGCCATATAATTAATTCCTTTTTCGAATTTACCGAAACCATTCGCCTTTTTGCATATACCGTAAAACCTGCCAACATTGGCCACATTTTGCACTTAATCAACTTTAAATCAAAAAAACTGTTAGTAAAGTATTAGTTTTTCATATTTTGTTTAACACCAGAAACCTCAACTGTTGATGTTAATTCACGGAAATTGCGAAAATTAGGACAGTTTCTTACCTAAAAATATATTTTTTTAGTCGGCCAAAATTACATCAGCTTTCTGTCAACATTAGCCACTGCTTATAACTCTTGAATTATAGTCTCAATGCCATTTACTTTAAGAACTATGACAGGAAACTGGCTAAAGAAGACGTGTAAAAGGCAATAATCACAAAAAGTTAAATATTTTGGCTTACAGCGAGGTGGCCAAAGATACCCGAAACTTTTTTTAAATTTCCATACAAAACAGTTTTAGACTCAGGGTTGTCAATTTTTTTAATTAATATATATTGGTTGAGTGTTTTACAAAAAAAAAAAACATGTTTTTAATCAATCGCATTTTATTATATGAGATTTATTTGGTACAATATTAGCATATAAAATATGGCACTTTTACTAAGCAAGTAGACAACAACATAGACTATCAAATTATATCAAGTATTAAATGATTATGAGTAAGTACTTAAATTACTATCACATATTTGTGAGATCAAAATTCTTAAAAAAAGATTCATTTTTCAATTTAGTAATCTCAAGACTACTTAATCATCACGTTGAGGTGAAATTTTAAAATTCTCAAATTTATAAATAAAAATATATATAACAATAGGTACCAAGCTTAGTGTTTATTTAGAACCTACGTACCTACTGAAAACAAAAAATAATAAATGAAAAACATAGATACTTTAGGAACTTTAGGAAATGAGCGTGTAAATGACACATTCTAGTAAATACCAAAGAAATACAGCAATATACTTTTTGTGATAACACAAGACATAATATCAAATTCTTAAAAGTACACAGAATCCTTATCACACATTAATGCATATTCTTCAGGACTTTCATTGAATTGTAAAAGTTCTATAATTTTAACAATGTTACTTTCTGGTACGGCTATATCTCGATCCAAGAGCTTAGGTTTAATAAATTTAATATCATCTGAATCCTTTGTTTTTATGCATTTGTAATAAGATATATTAAAAGTTTTGGAATTGTCATTAACACTTTCAATTAATCCTACATAATACTTCCAGTTATTTGACTGATAGTATCTTACCAACACTTTTTCTCCTAATTCATAATACTCTTTTTTCTTTGAATTCTTGTCAATTTGATGTATATCTTCTTTTATTATTTGTTTATCCATATTTATAGATTCATCAATATTTGTAGACTCTTCCATACTTATTTCAAAATTTGAAACATCACTAAGTGCTTCAATTATGTCAGAATCACTATGGGTGCTAATGCAATCTTCCTCAGTAGTTGTAGAACTATCTAGAGATTTTCTTGGTCTCTTAACTGGTTTTACGTTTTCCTTTTTGACGGTTTTTCTCAAACGACGTTTTTTCTTCCTTTTTTTACTGTTAGTTTTCTCTCTGCTATTTGCAGAACAACTCACAATATCCCTAATATCCTCATTATCGTCACTACTTAAAACACCATGAACGTTAATATTAAAAGCAATATTATCTATTTTTCTTACCTTACCACCCGAATTTTCAGTATGTGGTTTTTCTATGATAATATTGCGTTCTGAAGGAAAAGTTTGTGATAAAATGTTGAAGCTTGTATCAATTTCTTTAAAGTATTTAGTTTTAGTTTTTGCAATAGGCTTAGTCTTATATTTTGGTAAAATGATGTCGGATAGAATATTTATCTTTTTGGGCTTGTCTTGGTCTTTTATCGAAATCACGGGTAAATCAGTTTCAAATACTAAATCAGTGTTTTTTGTGGCTTCCATGAGACCCGTTTTTTCGTTTAAAATATAACTAATGTCATAATTGTAATTTTTATTAAAATTCTCGAGTGAGGCAGCAGTATCTACCTTCGTGAGTGTCGTAGTATTCTTGGATGACTTGACTTTGCCTCGTACATTCGATTTTGAGAGTTGGGAAGTCAGCAGTAAATCATCGACTGTTACTGATTTTCCAGGTACAGTCATAACTTTCTTGTTTCTTTTTGTTATCATAGGATTTGGCTGCCTGATCTGCTTTAAGTAGTCTAGCAATGCATTGTCAATCCCATATGATGCCACATCTTCTTGATACTCTGGTACACGCTTCAGTACTTCTCTTGGGTTGAATGGGTAGATCCCAGTTGGTCTGAATCCGCTTTTGATATTTTTAGATGAATATATTTCAACTTGATCAACTAAAGAATGTAAAAGTTTTGGGAAATGATTCTTATTCAGAGTAGTTTGGTTGGGATTTTCCATTTTGTACTTGAGTAATATTGCTCGCCACACTTTTTTAAGTGGTGCAAAAAAAGCAACGTCAAGGGGTTGTGTTATGTGTGTCGAGCTAGATGGAATGAAAACAAACTGAATATTGTGACACTCACATAATTCGATAACACTCACAATTAAGTGGCTTGATAAATTATCGCATATAACGACTTTTTTACTAGGTAAAGACTTTGCCCAATCCATAATAATTGTGTTAAAGTAATCTTCAAAAACAAAAGAATCAAACCACCCAGATCTTGTGCAGTTATACCTAGTACCACGCGGTCCGCCCTGTATCCATTCAGAATATAACGACACCTGCAAGGAAAAACATCGTAACTCACTTTTTAGCGATTTTGAGTTACAATCATATTCTTAGTAAATAAAAAATTCTTTTTTATTTGCGCTCACCCCTGTATCTAAATTCATACGCGTTACGATTTTAGACAGTAGAAAAATGTTGTAAGTCAGTGTCCACTGAAGATGATAAAAAGGTATATTTAGTTACACATACTTACCTATGCCTGACATTAATTTATTACATAACAAAAATTGTAATACAAGACAGCCTCTTGTTCTTGGCAATTTTTTTTTGTATTAATAAAAGGTTTCATCGTAACCTTAGTTACGATGTTTTAATCCTTAAACAGAAAATAAAAATATCACTCCAAAGACTACATAAGAAAACGGTAGGTATTTTTTTATTATATTCAGTAACGTAAATATTAAAAAAAAGTTCGTGTGTATGGTACAACCAAATAAATACTGCTCTACAATAGGTCAAATTTTGACCTATTGTGTAGGTACCACGTTAAGTTTACTTCGAGCTTAAAATTTGTAATTAAATTTTCGGTCAATCAAAAAAACTAGTTATTAAAATTGAATTTACGCTCCTATTTTAGCTCCTTCTGTTTTACACCTGATGCCGATACAGAATAAATAAATGATGAACTTAAATAAAATTACAATAATGAACAAATAGAGGATATTTTGCGTGAAGTTGGTAAGTTTACCTACTTGAATACTATAACAACATTAAACTAAAGTTATAAAGATGTTTATATTTATTTTTAAAACCGATTTAATAATGTATGTTGTGTTTTTAGTGCAAAACCAAGAACTTAGTAATGCAATAGAACCTGAAATACGAGTCTATGAAGACCAAAGTGAAGTCAAATTAAAGCAGAAAAGCCTAGAATTTAATTACATATTAATACTAAAGAAAACAAGAAATATCCGGAGAAAGTTAACCCTGGAAGAACAACATTTTTGAATAAAGAAAATTGGAAGGCTGAAATACGTAAAAGAAAGAAAAATTCGGGCGAGGAATTTATAAATACAAAAGGACACTTAATAGCGAAAAAAGTTATGAAACCAGACTGTGGTGCTAATTGTTCACGTAAATGTCGAGAAGCAATCACAGAAAACCAGAGAAGTTTAGTATTTAAAAACTTCTGGGAACTGGGGGATCATAATAAACAAATGGATTATATTAGCCGATTTGTCAAAAGAGTCCCGAAAAAACAAGTTATTGCCAGCTCGGCCTCATCCAGTCAGCGCAAATGGTCTTTTGAATACAATTTGTTTACAGAAGGTCGAGAAATACGAACCTGTAAGACGATGTTTTTAAACACCCTCTCCATAAGCGACATGTGGTTGCAGATTCTATTTAAAAAAAATGATACGTCTGCTATAGATACTATTATATTATTATAGCTACAGATACAAAAACGCAACTGAGGCGGACAAAACTATGCTAGAGTATGAGTACGCTTTACATATTGCGAACAAAAATGTGGTCAGGTCTTTAAAAGATAGTGACAAACACCGAGCTAAGCACTCCAATTCTGTTGTAGCAGCTTGTTAAGATTTACAGAAAATTTTAAATACTCCTCATTCAGAAGTATCCGTATTTTACTACAAAAGAAAACTTGCTACATATAACTTCACGATCTATGATATGGGTAAACATTAAGGATATTGCTACTTGTGGGACTAGATGATCGAACGCAAAGGATATAACGAAATAAGTAGTTTTGTATTCGACTTCATAAAAACCAAGGTACAGGAAGGGTACACGGAGTTTAATTTTTATTCTGATAGCTGTGGCGGTCAGAATAAAAATAGGACAGTATTCGCAGTGTAAGCATATACTAGCAGAACATTTAATATAAATATAAATCATCACTTCTTTGAAGTTGGACATTCACAATCAGAGGGTGATTCGATGCATGCACTTATTGAGCGGAGAAAAAAAAAATTATCTACGTACCTCAGCAATGGGTAACTTTGATAAGGTGCGCTAAATCCAATGGTGAGCCGTATGAAGTAAACCAAGACACGATATTGGATTTTAAACAGCTGTTGCCATATTACAAAAATTGGGAACACGATTTAAACCATGTGAAAGTCTCCTGGAGTAAAATTATGTACATTCATTTTATCAGTAGCTTACCAAATATAATTAAATATCAATATGATTATCTGAGTGACAATGAAATGGCTATAAATGTAGCTAAAGATATTAAGACAATTTCTCTTCGGGCAGTTACTCGTTGCGCTAACAAGGAACCTCAGAACAGTGAACAAGAGATAACCATTACAAAGGCTTATAATGCACCTTTGCCTTTATCTACAGCAAAGTACAAAGATTTAATTAGCTTATGTAATAGCAATGCTATTCCAACAATATGTCATGATTATTTTATAAATTTACCTCATCTGAAAGCAACTCTACCAAATAATATGACTGATTCTGATTAAGAAGTATTTTGATTTAAAAGTATTATGTATATTTTAGTAAGTATATAAATTACTATATTGTTTGTATGCTAAAAATTATAAAATATCTTACAGAAACAAACATTTGAAATTTGAAAAAAAATCTTTGATGTTAATCAATGACATTTTTTAATAATTCTTTATGCTTAAATTTCATATGTTTGTTTCTTAAAGATATTTTAGAGTTTTTTATTGATTATATTGCTTGTATTTTTCATATCTGATTTTAGTAGTTAATAAACTGATTTTAGATATTAGAATACTTTCTGTTGCTTAAATTTGTAATGTTTGTTTATTTAAATATTTAAAAATTTGTTATTAATTGTGATATTCAGAATTTCATGGGCCTGACTATAATGCTTATCTTTAAGTTGATTGGATAGGTACCTATAACAGATCTCAAAAATGAAGCTTATACCAAAACACAAGAAAGAACGAACCAGAATTGGAAAAAAGATAATTTTTAATATTACATTTTCTTAAATATTAAAGACTTTGCGTTGGTGTGATAACATGATTTATTTTTTGCATTTTGAGATTATTGTAATTAAAATTAATAAAGATTTTCCTAATTAATTAAACATGTTTTATTCTTACATTAACTCTAAAATACATAAAAATATATGTTAAGCATTGTATCTCAGACTTACAATGTTTTTAACTTAATGAAGTAAATATTAATACACAAAGTTGAGTTGTATGTCTGAGTTACAATGTCATTTTATAAGGTTTATGTGATGTAATATGATTGTAACTCATAAAAGATAATAAATTACATATATTAATAACATATCAATGATATGAAAGTGTAGATTTTCTTTTGTAGACTCAAATTTTCACGGTGAGATGGCGATAAGACTTAATAGAAAGACTTAAGAATTTTTTAAATCTTTGACACGCTCTCCTGAAAAGTTGATAAAAATGAGTTACGATGTTTTTCCTTGCAGGTGTCGATAAATTCTCTGCCTTATAGACAACGTAAATAGGTAGCAAGCTCCCGTTCGCTGTAACTGAGAACATCAGCGAAATGGCTCCTTTAGTTGAATTGAGCACTCGCTCGGGATATTTTACTCCTCGCCTAAATATACATTTTGAAGATCCTGGATCATCTGTTAAATTTGTTTCGTCAAAATTGAGTATATTTGATGGAGCAACATCTTTCAGTCTCTTCTAAATTTCTAAAATATTCCATGAACTCATCAACCCCTTTCTCAGCTCTATTTTTTTTAATATTCTGCGTGCTACGAACTGACAAATCTAATGAATGTCTTGACAAAAAATTATCAAGCCATGCTTTTCCAGGAGGTCCTCCGTTAAATACATCCTCGCGGCCATTCTTTTTCAAGTATTCAAACACGACGAGGCGAAGATCCAATTTACTAAGTGGGCATCCGAATTCCCCAGCAGCAATTAAAACTTTAATAAATTTGGCTTCTTCGTCATCAGATAATCGCGTTGGACATCCGACAGACTTTGTATGAGACTTGTTTACTTTATTTAATATTGTCTGTTTAGGAATTGCGAATTGTCGCGCCGCCTCTCTTGCTGATATCTGTTTTTTTCTAACAAGATCTACAGCTATTTTAAGCATTTCATTTGAATAATTTTTATATTGCCGGGCACCAAGGCGTCTGCGACTTTTTCTTGATTTTGGCTTAGATGTATCCATTCTGTAAATATATATGGACATAAATAATAAGCAAATATACATATTTTAAACTGTATTCTAGGTATTATACCAAAACTAATTGTAAAACTAAGTTATAAGCAAAAAGTACCATCAACTCATGAGTAGGTAGGTACCGAATTCTAAAATTATCAGTGGGCAGCCCTAGTATTGTTTTTCTGTGGCCAAAGTTAACGGCACATGTTTGCTACAAGTGATTGTAACATTGGCCATTTGAATTACTGATTAATAGAGGATTCATATTGATTTGAGATGTATACCATATTAAAACCAAGATTTCACTTAATAACATATCAAAAATTCCACTCACCTGGATCATTTTTCAAGCGCGAAAAAGCTTTATACTCGAGGAACAATTTGGGACCACCGGCAGAGACTCCTATTTGACAACTGTTGACAGCCAACTGAGTGAACTTAGTAACCGAACGTATGATTGGTATTGCCAGAAATATATTCTATTTTCCATAATATGTTGTAAAATGTTGCTATATGAGATATATTTTTTACTACAGCAAATTTTTGTTATTTTTGTCAAGTGGCCAATGTTAGAATTAAAAACCAAAGTTGGCGGGTTTTACGGTACGTACATATATGCGTAAAGCAAAAAAATATCGAAATCGGGACGAGAAGAAAAGCATGTATATATAATAGATGGTATTTATAATTCCTTTAACTATGTAATTTCAAATAAGAATTTGCTTTTTTTAGTTGTAATTCCACATTAAATTTATTTTACTAGGTTATAATAAATCTATGATTTATTCCGTCGTCTCCGTCATAATTGCCTTAACACTTTCACTGTCCGGTTTTCAGACACAATAGTAAGACAATAGCAATGTCCTATATGTAGTGCACGGGACAGCGAAAGGGTTAAATTTTTATATTATCTATTGTATATATCCACTAATGCAGTATAAGACTATTGACGAATTGTATCTATTTTTACTTTTTATATGTTAGCACAACGTAGCAAACAATATACAGACTTTAAAACTAACCAGTGGTATTGTATATAATAACCAGTAGAAATCTTATAGCTCTTTAATATGGTGTACCTTCTCTAATAAATGTGTATTATCTGAATGGTATTTAGCTTAAATAAGCATTTACATATTCATAGTTAGCGAATTAATGTAATGTCTGTAGAACTAAACGACCGTAGATCAGTAAATTGTCCCCAGATTTAAATTGATGTACATTTTCTTGCCATTAAAAATGTCTTAAAGCGTGTTATGAATAATTTAAAATTTTTGTGTAATATTATTTAGGTAACGTATGTTAGTTAAAATGTTGTTTTAAAAAGTGTAATAAAAAGTAATATGTCGCCACTTTCAATGTTATTCTACCAGTTCCTAACATATGCACAATAGAACTTATGATCGTCGATTATCGTTTACATACAAAAATTAGGTATTAATTATCCATAGAACTGCCTCTTTCTATTGTCGTTTAGTAAAAATAAAGAGGGCGACTGTAAGAATTTGTTACATTGACATCAATGTTTATGAGTAGGGCCGTGTATTGTTAAAAAAAGCGGCCAAGTTTAAAGTAAAATTTAGTATTTCGAAATATAAGCTTAAGAGATTCTCCGGTTGTAGGGAGCATTTGCCTTAACGTCATGCTTGTTAAGCAGATTGTGAATTAAGACGTCTTGAAATTTATACACTGCTGCCCGTCGCCGATTTTGGTATTAGGTCCTTACATAATATGAAATTAGCGTGTTGTCGTACTGACCACTTTGATCTGAAATATCTCTCTTTGGTTAAGAATTCCAAATTCAAATTTGTAAATTCATTTAGCTGGTACATTTGAGTTTTGAAAACAGTAATTCTTTTGTTTTTTCCTCATTATTTTTTTCTTTGGCGTCGCTTATTACCGCACAATGGAAAACATGAAAGCGGTATATTTACGATTACGAGTTCTACTGTGGCACCAGTGCTGCAGAAACAGCTCTAAGGATTAATGATGTGTACGGCGCTGGTGTCGCAAAAGAAATCACGGTACGTTTTTGGTTTCAACGTTTTCGTTCTGGAAATTTCGACCTTCAGAACCAATCCCGTGGACGGCCGGAGACCAAAGTGGAAAATGAAGATTTAAAGGCTATTGTGGAAGCAGATCCATCACAAAGCACTTCAGAGATAGCTGCAGGCTTCGGGGTGAGTGATAAAAATATATTAATCCACTTGAAGCAAATTGGGAAAATAAAAAAACTTGAACGATGGGTACCTCATGAATTGAGTGTATCGAACTTGCAAGCACGCGTCGACTGCTGTGTTACTTTGCTCAAACGACACAATAGTATTACACCCATTTTCAAAAAGTGTTTTAAATGAATCCTAGAGTGATAATGAACCACTATAATTTTTTTAAAACCAAATAGTGACATAAAAATTACTTTAAATCTATCGTTGTAAATTTTAGCGTGAAAACGCTAGCCGCCATACTGTTCAACTCGTGACGTCACTGTCGTAGAATTTGACAATTTTGCAAAGGAATAAGATACTTTTGAATGTTTTAATAATGAGTTATCATTTATACCATTGTTGTGTTGTGCCTGATTGCAAAAATACGAGCATAAGAACGCCGGGGAAGTTATGGATTAAAGTGCCAACTGATTTAAATATGAGAAATACTTGTTTAAACTGGCAAGAAGAGACCCGAAGGCATTGTCTACAAAATCTAAACTGTACTTCTGTGAAGATCATTTTGAAGTAAGTATGACTTATATTTAACTATCGATTAAACAAAACAAAATCATGATATGATAGGTGCCTATTGCAAGTCAAATTTTGTAATAGATTAGGTTAATCGCTCGTCTGTCCCGCCCTTTGTGGGCCATATTGATAGCCCTTGCAAGTGCAGTGCAGTGTTTTACTTAATTCCTGTTTTCTTATATTATATGGGAATAAAGACATGGTTTGTACTCAGACCAAATAAAAATGTGACTTTTTATTTCGTCTGAGGGTTTGTACAAAAAAATATAACAAAAAGATTTTCTCACCAAAGCTTATATTATAATATCGCTAAAAGTGAAGTAATAAACTCCCTTTTACGAATCCGTCTTCCATGATGCCTTTTCAATAAAATTCGTAATAAAAGTCAACAATCGTAATGATAACTTGAAAAATTTCGAAATTAGCTAGTTATTACACAATACATAACCTAGTTCGTTGACCTAGTGACGTCACGACGCTATCTAACATGGCGGACATCTTTTTGCAGATTTGAGGCACAGGTAAAAAAATATATTCTTTAAATTGAAATTTAAAATTCATAATGCATTTTTATAAATATAAATCAATATTTCTCGTTCACTTTTTACAAAATCTATCATAAATATATATTTTTTTATTTTTTTTACATGGTGTAAAATACCCTACAATGAAGGGATTTTAAATCGAATCATTACTTGTGATGAAAAGTGGATACTGTACGATAATCGGAAGTGCTCGTGGCAATGGCTGAACCTGAAAAATGCCCTAAATGAAAATTGACTCAGAAAAAGTTACTTGTGAGTGTTTGGTGGACTAGCGCCGATGTCGTACACTACAGTTTCTAAAATCTGGCCAAACGATTACGGCAGATATCTTCTATTGTCAGCAACTGTAAACCATGAAGGAAGAACTAGCTGCTAAACAACCGAGATTGGTCAATCGCGCTAGGCCACTGCTGCTTCACGACAACGCAAGATCACACACTGCACAACAAACAACCACGACGTTAGATGAGCTACAATTGGAATGTCTGCAACATCCACCATACTCCGCTGACCTTGCTCCAACAGATTACCATTTTTTCCGGAATTTGGACAACTTCTTACAAAGAAAAAAATTCAACTCCGATGCGGCAGTCCAAATCGCCTTCAGAGTTTATTGATTCTCGCCCCCATGGTTTTTTTTTAGTAAAGGGATCAATGAACTACCTATGAGATGGCAAAAGTGCATAGATAACAACGGTGCATACTTTGATTAATTAAATATATTTTCCAAAAAAATATTGACTTTATATTCCTCCCGTACAAAATGCCAATTTCATATGTAATATTTTACGCCTGGCGTGAATGAGTTTATTAGACCGCCATCTATCTGAAAGCATGAGGTTTTTCTAGTGTTTCCCACAGTTGTCTCTTATGACACCCAATGGACTATTATCAATATATCCCAAAAAATTTATCAAATTGGGGTAAAAACTAAGACATTATGATGCCGTAATACATTATATAACAGACGAACAGATAGAAATGTACACATCTATATACTATCCATAGATTAAAATCAAGGAATAATAAACAATGAGTGGATTGATCAAAGTAATAAATGCCAATAAGACGGTATTATCAGATTTATTTACCTTTGTTAGTTATACATTGGTAAAAATATTAATGCTATGAAACAATTTGACTTAGCATTTGGTTTGTAACAATAAATTCACGCAGAGGTTATGATTACGTAATAAATGAGCGCTACTGTAAATCCTCTTTTTTAAATGCTATGTGGCCAGTGACATGGTGACGCTGCAGATCAACACAGAAAACATTTTAATTCCAATCCACACTGAAATGGTGATGCAAAGCTTTTCTTAATCATTGTTACTTAAACTTATGTGCCTAAGAAATAAAATTTCCTAAAATATGGAACCTCTTGATCGTGTTAACTAATTAAATGACAAGTATTTTTACTTGTAATTCAGTATAAGATTAATTATTTAATACGAATAACTATAACCTTTAAAAATTTAGTAATGTTATCATAGAGATTTTAAGAATAATATAATATACCTATATCCATAAACAAATAAAGTTGTTATACATATATATTTAAATCAAATAATGCATGAACATATTATTTTTGAACTCGATTTGTTCATAATTACAGGCTATAATTTAGATAAACTGAATTGTAAACGCTGGTATTAAAACGAGCCTTAATTACACAAAATCAAGTTTGACTTTTTTAAAGGCCACAATAATTTAGGTAATATGATAAATAAAAGGGTGTTTACCCTCTAATTGGGTAGGTAAGAGCCATTAAAAGTGATCCTTATAATATAATACATATAGACCCAATCTACCTTCAATTGAAGTACATAATATAAGAAACTTAAGGACAATAAATGCAGTGTTAACATTTGAAAGAACCTAAGTTGAAAGACATTAAAAACATTACCAAAACTTTTCTAATGAATTATTTTTGGATGAAACATGTTTTTCACAAGCAAATAATTATATATAAGATTTTGTATATTATAAACTATTGAAACAAAGGAGTAGATTGATTGGGTTGGAGACTTCATAATTATTGCAAAACTAGAAAGTGCTACCCTCAGGTGGCTGTGAAAGCTTCATGTTCTCCTTTAAAGTCATGAGACGTCTCAATTCCTGCAGTACTGTCTTGATAGT